GGGAGGGGAGGGGAGGGGAGGGGAGGGGAGGGGAGGGGAGGGGAGGGAGGGAACATACCAGAAGGAAAAAGGACGCCAAGGTTCCTCACTCTTTCCCTCCTAGCTCGTTACACCATCTACCGCGGAGTCAGCCTTCCTCTCTTCCGCTCCTCCCCGGTAAGCAACTTCTCCCACCTCCTCCTTGCTCGTGACTTTGTCTCCTCCTGCTCAGGACCTCCACGTTTCTTCTCCGTCCTTCTACTGCTACGGTGGGCCCATGAACGGCCAGGCGTGCGGAAAGGATGGGATGGGACAGGAGGACAAGCTTTCTTGCGGGGCTGGAGTGTGCGCGCAATGGACGGGAGTGTGGATGACGAACGCAAAGGTAAAGAGGAGGGAGAGGGAGGACGAAGAGAGGGGAGGAGGAGTGGGTGGGAGGGAGGAAGAGAGATGGAGAGAGAAGGAGGGAGGGAGAGTGGGTGGTAGAAAAGTGTAGGAGAACGAGCGAGAGAAAGGGAGAGTGGGAGAGTGGGGGAGGCAGGCAGGCAGGCAGGCAGGCAGGCAGGCAGGCAGGCAGGCAGGCAGGCAGGCAGGCAGGCAGGCAAGGATGGTTAGAAGGAAGGAGGGAGGGAAATGGATGGAGGAATTTGTGGGCATTATTAGATGTTGGACAAAAGAAAGTTAACTGCATAACATGTTGCAGGTGACCATCACGTCGCTCCCTGCCGAAGCGAAAATCTTCTACACCATCGGCAAGAGAGAGATCGTTGCTGCTGGTGAGGGAGAGGAGGGAGGGGAGAACGCGGAGAAAGGAGGGGAAAACTAGCAGAGGGGGGAGAGACGGGGGAGGAGGCACGAGATTGACAGAGGGAAAGAAAGCAGAAGCAGCTAGCTGTTCAGCGCTAGCTGCAGGAGAACGAAAAGAGAGGGAGCATGACGATCTTGTAGAACCCGACGAGAACTCTGCTGTCTACTCGGATCCATTCTACCTCGAAGACACTCAAGGTAAGAGGAAAGAAGTGGAGGAGAAGGAGCAAGCAAGAAGCAGAGAAGGAGGAGAGGGAGGGAAGGAGAGGAAAGGAGAGATCAATAGTCATGTCAGCTCGTCAGGTTTCAACATCACAGTCCGAGCACGGGCGTATCTATCAGGTGTGTGGAGGGGAGCGAGAGGAGCGGGATAGGAGAAAGAGCAAGAGAGGAGGGGAGGAGAGAGGAAAAGCGGGAGAGGGGAGGGAGCCGACGAAGTCAGGATGACCTGTGCATCAGGATACAAGGCCAGCGACGTCTCCACCGCCATCTTTCAAGTCCGCAAGTTCGCACCGTCCGAGGTGAAGGGCAACAGGGACTGGCTGACCTACCTGCTCATCGCTGCTGGGGTTGTGCTGGTAATGACCCCCAACTCCCCTCCCTCTTTCCCCTCTCTATCACCTGTCCCCCCCCATCCCGCCTTCTTCCTCCTCCTCCTCCTCTCTCTCCTCTTCCTCTTCCCGTCCCTTTTCCCCTTTCCCTTTCCCTTTCCCTTTCCATTTCCATTTCCCTTTCCCTTTCCCTTCCCCTCTGTCCTTCCTCTTTTCAAGACTTCACCGTTTGTCCTCCGCTATCGTCTGCTTCGCTTCTGACTCCTCTGCCAAGTTTTTCCTCCTCGTCATGCTGGCGGTCTACTTCATCCGACGAAGGAAGAGGGTCAGCGGAGCTTCTTCCTCAACTGACGCAGCTGACGCCTGGACCAGGAGCGCAGGAGGAGGGTGGAGCCAACCTGGTAGAGCCCTGAGACACGGAGGAGGAGGAGGAGGCTGACTGAGCGGCAGGAGGACGATAGAGAAGGAGCAGGAAGCAAACAAGATCGCAGTGCTCGAGAAGTTCGAGCAAGTAACCCCTGCGGTGAGTCAGACATTTTCCCCTCCTCCCGCCCTCAGCTTCCCGCCAGGAGCCCAAGCACGCCAGCGCCGAGGATGCCAGGAAAGTGCGACTTGTGAAGAAATGGACTATGGCGGATGAGGAGATGTTCAATGCGATCATGGTGTCCACCACCACCACCACCACCACCACCACCACTTTCTCCTCCTCCCCTCCTCCTCCTCCTCCTCCTCCTCGGCGCGGCGGCGGGAGGGGATGTCGATGAATGCAGAAGAAGGAGACGGAGATGCCGGAGGAGGTAACAAGAGTCCTCGTCGTCGATGATGTCAACATAGTGCGTGAGCGACGCAAGCGCTTCCTCCCGAATCGTCTCCTGCATCTCCTCCTGGCTGAACCCCTGGTCGAACAGCAGCTCCTCAACTGCTGAGAGCGACCCCATCTGCGAATCGAACAAGGGATGCAGGGAATCATGCTTCACACCCCTTATTGCAGCATGGAGACGCTCGCACGCGAAGGCTTCCGAACGAATCTTCATCGCCTCCATCTTGGCATCCAGCGCCTCGCTGCCCTGCCTCCGCGGCCCG